TGGGTCTGTGTACATTGCACAATTGTTTTGTTTCATGTTCAATGGAATATTAAAAATTATAAAGTTTAAGAGGCGTCTTCCTTTTCTAAAATGCTATGATAGATTGAATAATTTGATATTTAATAATTTGAAAATTGTTTTGAAACTCCAGAAAGGAAATGAGTTTTTGCCACAAACTCAGATTTTCCTATCGCGATATCTTTTTAATCCAATGTCGGTGACCTTTGATATTTCAAATTATGAATTCTGTTAGATCAAATAATCTAAGTTTGAAATATCCAAGGTTTAAACCATCCGAATGCAGAGATATAGGAATTAGAACATTTAAGATAGCTGGAAAAACTCAGTTCCTTTCTTTCTATTATGTATATTTTTTTATTTCCAACTGTAAATAAGTTTCTTATTCTTCTTTTTAAATATTAAATTTCCACTTCTAGAATTAGTTTCTCAGAAGAAAAAAAGATATTTACAGATTCTAAAAAGGTTGTAAATAATTGTAAACAATATTTAAGAACCTGTTGACGTAATCTCAACTGATATAAATACTTAATTGTTAAACTGTCGTCTTCCTATACCATAGTTTTATGGATATTAATACAAAATCAAATACTTAATTGTTAAACTGTCGTCTTAGGGGGGGATTCATGTCATAACAACTAGATAATCATGTTTCCATTATATCTAATGTTTTTAGTCATAATAATAGGCCACACTGGTATACATGGTATAATTTATATATTTATCACATAATACATGTACAACAATTTCATCTTTATGTATAATTGACTTGTCTGCCTGTATGTTTGTATCTAATAAAACCAATCAGATGCACATTTTGTGTTTTATCTCAATTTAAGCAAGCGAAAATCCACCAATGAAAATAGAAAAAAACTATAAAATTTTTATTTTGAAAATACAGTGATATGCGATTATATCAATACAACAAATAGGAATTTCGACTTCATTTTGATTTATATCAAGCTGTTAAACAGCATGGATACACAATACGCATACACAGAAGTCAAAAGAAGCTGTAAATCAAAAAAGCGTCTCTTTAATTATTTGTAAACTTTTAATTCGAAAAAATCTTGTTAACAATCAAAACTTAAATAAAGAAGTCGTCTTCATTGCATTGTTATAATCGTCTACCACTGTATTCAAACACAAATTTAGGAAGTCATTTTAAAGATTGCCCCCCCCCCCTTAGTTACACCTTCGCAAAGAATTCTTGTAAAGTAAAACCCTTATCAAATATCAACTCCAACACATTGGCTGCTTCCAAAGTTCCAACCTGATGCTATTTTCTTAGGAGCATTTTCTTCATGTATCTATAGCTGCTATTTAGTAGTGGAAATATGTATATATATATATGTATATATATATAATCTTTTCTGCACTCTGCCCCTCACACTCCTTAATCTACTTATCTCTATATATATCTATGTATCAATGGGGGGAAGAGAGGAGGTATAATATTGCAGATTACTGCTCAATGTATCACGAAATGATGAATTGTATTGAACCTATGTAAACAAACCTAGAAATTTCCGATCTAGAGGATAAACTGACCTAGGTTCTGGAGGGAAAAAGAACTACAGGAGAAATAGATCTAAATTTAAAGACCTTAAGAGCAAAACGCAGTCTCTCAGGTATAAAGAGTTTAAGTGCTAGTAGACATATAAGAATTTCTTTTTTTTAAAGGTTTGCTTTTAGACAAAAATATGATTCTTCAATATTTAAAGGGACTGTAAAGGAAAAATGAAAGGTGGTATAGGCTGAAACCTGAGAATCTTTGGAGTTGAACTATACCTAAAAGAGTATAAGACATCTATCTGATGTTCCTGTCTCGAGAAATTGACATAGAACTGTGTCAAAATTATACCAAAACGTATATATATGTAATATATACCTACGTATCACGTGACAAGAACTCCCTCCAATGGCAGTGCAGTATACTGGTCACATGATACAGACGGAGACACGTGACAATAATACTGCACTGCCATTGCTTGGAGTTCTGGTAAAATGTTCCGGACGCATAAATAATTATCAATTATCTATTTAAATGTTGTCTATAGCCAGCCAAACGACTGGACCGATTGGGCTGATGTTTTTTTTTGTACACACATTGGTAGCCTTGGAGTGTTTTAGACTAAAAAAATAAAAATTTTGTTATTCCACGGGCAACGCCGGGCCCTCCAGCTAGTATCTTTTAAAGATGAAAAATTATTAAATTCAAGTAATCATAGGAGCAAACTTGATTTTCTCAGGCTCATCTGGGATATGGTTGTTTTCAGATAGGTTGCGTATTTAATGAATATGATCCGTTTAATACTACGATTCAGAAACAAAATATTACATATATACGTTTTGGTATAATTTTGACACAGTTTTACACCAGTTTCTCAAGACAAGAACATCAGATAGAACTCTTATAGGTCTCAATTAACTCCTGAGATTCTCAGGTTTTAGCCTATACCCCCTTTCATTTTCTTCTTACAGTCTCTTTAATAGGACTTTGACGGTAAAAATAGCTTTGTAACCTGATTTTTCTGAAGAAACAATATTTCAAAACTTTTTAACTAAAAAGAATTTTAAAGAAAGTTCAAGAGGAATTCCCGATTAACAACAGTACCACTTATACCTCTAATTTACAACCAGGAAGATATCGTCGTTTTTCTATCTAAAAAAATACTGATTCTGACAATTTAATTCTTTTTTTATAATGCAAAAAATCAACAATAATTTTTGAAGATAATCCGCGGTTGAAAATAATAAATTTTAGATAGGAAAGGAGGGATAACTCAATCAATTTAGCTAAGGTTTAAAGTGCAACCTTAAACTTGTAAATCATACATTTAGTTAGCTCTTTACAGAAAGAAACTCAATTCATTCCCTTTAAGTCCGAAAACTCAATTGGTTGGGTTTTCCTACGGGCAGTTGATAAGTAAATATAGCATTCAGGGAGTGTAGAGTGCTAGTTATTTGATTATTCCCTCAGCGCTGATAATACAATAAAGATATAGATACCTTCACATTTATAATCTAGCCTTCTATATACTGACATCTTCTTGTACAGTGAATAAGAAGACGACCTGTAGGCTCAAGTAATGATTTCAAATAGTCCAATTAATATGAAGCACAGTAATTGTGCAGTGATTGTATAGATCTATTTCATAAGTTCAAAAGCTGATTTTCAAGCTGATGACAACACTAATTTTAATACAAAATCAAATACTTAATTGTTAAACTGTCGTCTTCCTATACCATAGTTTTATGAATATTAATTGTTAAACTGTCGTCTTAGTTAGACCTTAGTATTGTTTTGCTTTATATTAAAACTAAAGAAAAAAAATAACATTAACTATAATTAGATAAGGTATTGAATGCACAACATTTTTTGAAAAAAATCGGGAAAATATTGGGATTTTAAAATACAAACAAAATCTATTCAATCATAAATAGATTAGATTATTATGTTTATTTTGTTATATTTTCATATCAAATGTTTGTTCATCTTTATATCTTTTTTTTATAAATTCTGAAAATTAGGTGCTTTTTCTCTTTTATCTTCCACCTAATGTTGAATTTTGTGTGAACAAAATTTCAACAGCAAAAATAATATATTTTTTTTATAAAATTATGAAATTAAAATAAATCTGATAAAATCAATGCGTGTTTTGACTCGATATCCGACTACATATCTCGATGATTATTGATTGCTGTGAACAGGGGGCCCTAGCTGTGTACCCCCTACAAATGCCCCCATAAAGTTCACCCCCTTAGGCTAAATTTTTTAGTACGCCCCCCTGGATGTAGAAAAGCCGCGGACTGAAATTTTTGTTCTATACTGATCCAGACCTAAGCCCAGTATTCAATAGTTGCCCTCTATCCCCCTATAATCTTCCATGTTTAATGAAATCCCCTGCATATAACAGGGTAAATTCTGTTTACAAAGTTGAACCCCCATCCCCCTTTATTCTTTCAGTCTCTTGGAACCAACATATAGAAGAATATAGAATACTTGGAACAGTTGAACTGTGTTTCCTGGAACACCTAATATTTACAGGAACCCTGGACCGTAGAGATATTCAAGGCACAGTGGTTCAGGAGGAGGGGGGCAGTTGTTTTCAAATGGGACTTTGTTTACCTGGGGCGTAAATGGGCTAGGAGGTACAAGAGGGTAGATCAAATAGATTATCAAGTACAATAGGTGGCAACTGAGAAATGAACCAATTATACACGACGTCATAAGTGTCAAATATAACAAGAAAACGAAATTTTCTCACATAAGTTGACACGTTTATCAAGATTGAATAAAAAAGTGTAAAAACAGAAAATAAAGAATACATTTAATTGCACTTATGTTACTTTAAGATAAGCACTTTATTATAAAACTATCACTATTATTAATAATTTTGTCGGACACAAAAACTGAATTGACACTTGTGACGTCAGAATACAGCTGTAATGAGAGTGTGCAAATTTTACTTTGCCATCTATTGTACTAGAATCTATTTGGGCCTTGGGGTAGATGGGTAGAACACAGAGGTATACTAAGTATACTGTAGACGAAGCGGATGTGTAGAAAATAAAGGGGCCAGGAGGTACAAGAGGGTAGATGGGTAGAACACAGAGGTACACTAAGTATACTGTAGAGGAAGCGAATACTTATATCCTAAACCGCCCTTGTTTGTATCCACTAAAACCAAATCATTTTTTGTAGGCCACCACATGTAATGCTGGCATGCAAATACATCTTTATTACTAAACGGGGAATCATTATGGTAGAAAATTAACCGGAGACGAGTTTTCAAAATGACCCACCTGGAGCCTTTTGTAAAATATCGGGGATTCACCAATATTAAGGTTAGGGAAATTTCCATCAAAGATGCAGTCCCTTACTTTTTAGTAATTCACAGTTGTTTAGTTGTTATGTAGAAGTTTATAATAGGACTTAAAGATACTGTTAGTGTCAGTACTGCAGGTGTCGAGATGTAATGAAACTTCTACTATTATTATTATGTGTTGTAACATTCTTGAAAACCAATGCACAATCCAAGGCAATAAAAACACCACCAAGTTCTTCCTCATCTTCAGCTGCAACAATCCCATCCAGTGCATTATCAACTTCTTCTCCACCAATAGAAGGAGGGGTTGGAGGGAGAAGTTTGACAGGCATCAGAGCAACTATAGCTGCAACGAACCCATCCAGTGCATCACCGACTGGAGCAACATTCAAATTTGAACCAATAAAATCTACTGTTATTGGAGGTAGAAGAAACTTTGGTTACAGTGCAATTGGGGGTTTTCTTGACAACAGTTTAACTCCAACCAAAAATAGAAACCCTCCTAGATCCAACAACAAGCCATCTAATCCAGACAATCGACCCCAACAAACATCAAGAAGGAGATATGGAAACCAAAGATCTAATGTTAACAGAACGTATAGTGGGTATTCTCAACCAAGAGCAACACAATCAAACTCATATTCTAGAAGACCGGCAAACCAAGTATATGTGAGCAGTGGATCTAACTCAAAATATACTCCACCCACTACATATTACACTAAACCAGTAACCAAGACAAATATAAACAGTGGATCTAACTCCCTGTTTACTCCATCCACTACCTATTACACTAAACCAATAACTAAGACCTATGTAAGCAGTGGATCTTCAAGTTCATCTTCCTCTAAACCAGTTTATGTGAAGAGTGTATCTACAACTGTAACTAAATATCGAGCATCTTCTACTGAATCCTGTAGTAGATCAGCTCTATCCCTTCTACCATCAACAGGTGGTTCAGGACACTGTACATCTAGCTGTAACAGTATTCTAGGAAGAGAGAATGCAGAGAAATGTTGTCAATCTGCTGATTCAATAGAAGCTTATCCAGTTACATGCTATCCTTGTAAATTATGCACTTTTTAAATTATAGAAATAAATTAAATATAGTTATCCATTTCTTCAATGAGTTGAGTTGAGAGCCTATAAGTTAGAAGTACTAAAAGAGCTAGGCTTTGCCCATATTCAATTGATAAACCTTATAAGTCTTAAGACATTCTTTCTGTGAAAATGTAATCAATCTGACGAAAAATGGTGAAAAAGAGAGAAAGCAGGACAGAAGAGAGAAAACAGGAAAGAAGAGAAAATCCAGGACAGAAGAGAGAAAAAACAGGACAGAAGAGAGGAAACAGGAAAGAAGAGAGACGACAGGACAGAAGAGAGGAAACAGGAAAGAAAAGAGAAGACAAGACAGATGAGAGAAAACAGGAAAGATGAGAGAAGACAGGACAGAGGAGAAAACACAGGACAGAAGAGAGAAATCAGGAAAGAAAGAGAAGACAGGACAGAAGAGAAAAACAGGAAAGAAGAGAAAATTCATGAAAGAAGAGAGAAGACNTCTGCTCCATATATATGTGGTAAACTCACAAAGGATGAAAAAATATACTATCTGCTCCATATATATGTGGTAAACTCGCAAAGGATGAAAACATATACTATCTGCTCCATATATATGTGGTAAACTCGCAAAGGATGAAAACATATACTATCTGCTCCATATATATGTGGTAAACTCACAAAGGATGAAAAAATATACTATCTGCTCCATATATATGTGGTAAACTCACAAAGGATGAAAAAATATACTATCTGCTCCATATATATGTGGCAAACTCACAAAGGATGAAAAAACTGGTATATTTATGTGCTTGATCATTTAATAATCCATCAAAAGACTCAAGTGAATTCGGAAACCAAATGTCAAGCTTCAATTCGTTAAGAGTATTTGCAGTAGTCTTTACAGTTTCATCCTTTGTTGGTAACCCTGTATATTAAAAGATTTGAGAAATATAATTTAAGTTTTAAGACCTGAAATTTAAAAATTTATTTAACTTTATTATATTTATTTGATAATGAAAGACTAATGTTCAGAGTGGTGCATAATATATTGTTTCCAGGGCTGGAATTAATTCGAATATATGCAGCAGATGTAGACAAAGGTTTTTATCTATAATATCCGAGTAAATAAGTTGGATAAAAAAGATAATTCAAAACTTCTCTTTTAATCCCTTTTATTTTGTTAAAAACGCATCCGCCAACCCAAAATTTTAATAGAGATGCGAAAGTCACCGAACTGTATAAATCACTGCAAGCCCAAAAAAAGATTAAAAGACACAATTGAAAGACCAGCCGGTACGAGAAAATGCTTCACGGTTATAATAATATAATAATATATTTCAACATTTAAATCTATAAAGATTTTTTTTACATTTCGGTCGAGGACTAAAAGATTTGAGACCGTTATAAATTTAGCCCTGATACTTACAAAATTATGCATAGCTAGAGAAAGAGATTAAATAAAAGTTATCCATAAAGAAAAAACAAGAAAATAATTGATATCGATTGAACTGGTGTATGTAGTTTCGAGAAAGTCGAAAATTTTCTTCAACATTTTGTTTGTTAAAAAATTTTGTATTTAAAAAGAAAACTGGAAAAATCAGAAATAACAGTGCACTGACTAGTGGCTGACAAAGATCTATCTTAAGTGCATCCGCTAGATCTCATTTATCAAAGCTTTAGAATGGTTTTTCAAAACTTTTTGGCATAAGAATGCATTAAGTTCTAAATCTAAATTCAACCTTCTGATGCAAAATCACGACAAAATCTTATTTTTATATTTTTATATTACAAACAGGGTTTTTTTGTTTGTGTTAAAAAGGTTCAAGTTCAAGTTTTCCTTTTTAAGACTGCATGTTATTTTTTCCTTTTTAAGACTGCATGTTATTTTTTCCTTTTTAAGACTGCATGTTATTTTTTCCTTTTTAAGACTGCATGTTATTTTTTTCCTTTTTAAGACTGCATGTTATTTTTTTCCTTTTTAAGACTGCATGTTATTTTTTTCCTTTTTAAGACTGCATGTTATTTTTTTCCTTTTTAGAAACTTATAAAACATTGATTTGACTTTTCAAGTTATCAAGATATCAAGATATCAAGTTAAAGTTAAATCATCAATTAAAACTTTCCATTTGTAAAGCCATTTAAAATTAAGTCTTTAAAGAAGGACTTTCAATGGCTTTGCGATAAAAAGGAAATTAGATATGTTGCTGAAGGATTCAAAACTCTTTATAAGAACAATAGAACAATTTAAAAAATCGGGTCGACTTTGAAGAGTCGCAACGCCTTAGCCTTTTAGAGTTTTACCTTAGGTCTTACTAACTCACTTCATACATCTTTTAGCCATATAGGCATGTACATTGTACATTTTAGATGTCTAGCTAAAGAGTTTTAAAGAAATAATTGGCAAAATGCTGAAAGATATTTGCATTGGAGCACGTGCACATTTTTAATATCACTGTATTATTATCCCCCAAACCCTGCACACTGCAAACTAAGATGTGCAAGCTCTCAAACAAAAATCAGGCAGTATTTTGCCAATTACTCCTTTTAAACTTAAGCTAGAAACAAGAGATTTGCATGTTTGAAATGTATATGTCTAGGACTATAAAAAAGTATAAGTGAGTGTGTGAGATAAAACCAAAGGTCAAGGCTTTGCGACACTTTTAAGTTGAGACTGTTTGAATATTTGATGACTAACTTTCAGAGTTGTGTTGATCTCAGTGGTCTCTGTACTATTCCCCCCTGCTTCTCATTTACTAAAATAATGTTATTCTAATTTTGTTCAGATACAAAATATTTATTTACGAGCAGATCCATATATATTTAATATATACATGCAGGCTGTTCCACTAAATATTGAACCAGAAAAACAATCGAAAAAAGGATAGTTTTTCGTTTCGTTTTCGTTTTTTCAAAACGAACGAACCATCGTTTTGAACTTTAAAAAAACGAAAAACGAAATGACGATATATTCGTTTTACTGAAAACAACTATCGTTTTTGAAACTCTTTTCTCGAGTATTAAAAAACGGTTTTCTAATTTTTAAAACGATTATTTTCAAAAATCGTTTGGTTTTTAATTTGTCTACGTCGTTATCAAAATAATCGGTTTGTTTTCCAGAAAAATTTTAAAAAAATCCATCCCTACTTAGAAGTCTTAGACTATAAGACTGTATTCGAATTTTTGGTTGAAAAGTATATGTGAATCTAAGGCCGATTTTTTCCCCAGCCACTCTGTGGATACAATATCTATTGTTGTTGTAAACAATATATGCATATCAAATATATGCAGTATATTCCGTGAAACAGATATCCGATGGTTTTCAGTCAATATAAATAATAGTTTATTTTATCTGTGGAAATATTGTTATTCTCGAAAATTTGAATTTTAGAATAATTCTTTAACGTTACTTTTTTTATCGTAAATAAATGAATTCATTTTTGTGACTCTCTGTATGTTTTTATATTGGTTTAAATACCAAGATTTTCATTAAATCTCCTCTGCAAAGTGGATTAAGATGAAGCTCGTATATATTATAGAATATCTGTATAGATAATATTTAAATATCTAGAATATTAAATATGGAAGAGAATAGATACATTGATGCCCTCCATTAGAACCTCCCTCCCTCCGCCTCCACCTACCCCAGCCCCCATTATTAGCTCTCATGCCCTCTATTAGAACCTCACTCCCCACTCTTCAAATGCCACGTTTTTTATGTTCATTAAATCCTATGACTTGAGTGTCTTGAGTTCTAAGACCCAAAATGGTTTAGTTTTTAAATTACGACCTAAATAATTATCTTAATCCCTTTGCCTAAATTATCTAATCTACATAATTCTTCCTTTTTATTGCCTAATAAGAAAGAATTAAAATCATTAAGGATAAAACTAAAGTAGAACTGAAATTCAAACACTATAAATTCAGGTTTGTTCTGCTTTAAGAGTGGTATAGTTCATTTTAACCTTTTTTAATTAAAGAGGGTGAATGCGACTTAAATTACGTTTTAAAGTATATACTGCGTAGAACTGATACTTTTGTATCCTTTTTTATATTACAATGAGTTGTATATTTTAAGATTAAAGAGGGTTGATACTTTTAAGATTAAAGTGGGTTGATACTTTTAAGATTAAGGGGGTTGATACTTTTAAAATTAAAGAGGGTTGATCCTTTTAAGATTAAAGAGGGTTGATATTTTTAAGATTAAAGAGGATTGATACTTTTAAGATTAAAGAGGGTTGATATTTTTAAGATTTAAGGGGGTTGGTACTTTTAAGATTAAAGAGGGTTGATAATCTTAAGATTAAAGAGGGTTGATACTTTTAAGATTAAATAGGGTTGATATTTTTAAGATTAAAGAGGGTTAATAATTTTAAGATTAAAGAGGGTTGATACTTTTAAGATTAAAGAGGGTTGATATTTTTAAGATTAAAGAGGGTTGATATTTTTAAGATTAAAGAGGTTGATACGCTTTACCCTTTTAGAGTTTTACCTTAGGCCTTACTAACTCACTTAATACATCTTTTTAATCCTAGGCATGTACATTGTACATTTTAGATGTCTAGCTAAAGAGTTTTAAAGAAATAATTGGCAAAATGCTAAAAGATAATATTTTTAAGATTTAAGAGGGTTGATACTTTTAAGATTAAAGAGGGTTGATGCTTTTAAGATTAAAGAGGGTTGATACTTTTAAGATAAAAGAGGGAATTGATTCTTTTAAGATTAAAGAGGGTTGATACCTTTAAGATTAACGAGGGTTGATACTTTTAAAATAAAAGAGGGTTAATACTTTTAAGATTAAAGAGGGAATTGATACTTTTAAGATTAAAGAGGGTTAATACTTTTTTAAAAATGGTAAATACGTTTTAAACAGGAATTGTATAGCTTGAAATACAAAGAATAAATACTTTTAACATTTATCAAGGATTAAACTAAGTTAAAAATCCGTTTTAAATGGAATAAACGNTATAAAAAATATTCCATTAAAAAGTTATTTTAGCAACGCAACTTCGCGTCCAGCGAAAACATAC